CTATAATGACATTGAAAGCCTCGAATCTTCCCAAGGTACATATATTTAATTTGTTTCCTAAGTTAATATTTAATATTAACAAAATTGGTTGTAATAAGATCATATATTTTTGGCAAATGAACAAAATTTGAGGTTTGTCCATCTAGAGGTCCTTGATTTGAGTTATAATTTCTTCAACAATAGTGTGCTATCTTCCGTCAATGAATTTTCAAATCTAAAATCCCTAAATATAGAAGTTAATAATCTAACAGGATTAGTAGATGTCACAAGTAAGTTGAGGCATACTTTAATCTTTTCTTCTTTCTTGCTAAAACGTTGAAAGCAGTTTATTTGTTACTTATGTGTGATCTAATAACCTTTTTTGTGGTTCTCCTAAAATTTGATGCTTTAAGATGCTTAGAAGAGCTACAAACGAGCTACAACGAACTCAACCAATTTGTTTCCACTAATGGATCAATGAAATGATATTGTGACTCTATGTTTGTTTTATTTTTTGTTTTGATAGAGACATATCTTTCAACTAATTATATGCTTTGTTCAAAACTCTTCAACATGATCTTCATTTTCTTTTTATCATCCACAGCAAATACAAGCTTTAGCAAGTTAGAAACTCTTTATCTTGATGGAATATCACCCGAGGAAAGCAATGTGCCAGCACAGTTATCACCAGAGGCATTCCCATCACTTAAGAGACTCTATTTGACATATAACTATCATCTAAACCAAACCATGTTTATTCAAAGTAAGTATTACATAGATGGCATTCTACAATATTATTGCTTGTGTTTTTTATATTAATTTCTATATGCTCATAAATTTTTTTTTAGTAAACACATATTCACAACTACTATGATAACCATTTTGCAGCTTCGCAAGTTTTGAGCAATCTAGAGGAACTTTTCTTGGATCAATCCCCTCTTAGCATAAACTTTCTGCAAAATATTGGTGCATTGACTTCTCTCAGGTCAATATCTCTAAGAAAATGTGGATTCACAGGAACCTTACCAA